AAAAAAAAATCAACGACAAGTAAATACTTAAAATCAATTTTACAGTCTTTTAATTCCTCCCCACGAACATTTCCATTTTTATTAAAGCGCAAAAAGAATGAAAGGTAGAAGAATGTGAGGAAAGAGAATAATTTTAGTTTGTCCACTCCCATCAAAAACTCAAAAGGGCTTTTTTTTACCGCAAAAGATGACTTGTTTGGTAAACAGTTGAGGTAACTGTAAGGTTGAAAAAATAAAGAAAGAAATATGAAATGGGGTAAAAAAATAAAATTAAATGCAAACTGAGTACTGCATTTGTACATATTCGTCATGTGATGCGTGCAGTGTGTCAGTGGGCTCTCTCAGTAGCTACTATCGTAAGCCAACGCATTCTTTTGCCCATTTTTATTTATCACAACGTATGCAATGCAGAGTTTATGACAGTGTCCCAAAAGTCGCGAGGCGTTTGCTAGGCGCTCGACTAACACCTAACGTCTAACGCCTAGAGAGCTTAGGCGGGGTCTAGAAATCAATATCAAGTGCATTATTTTTTATTTATTTTAACTACCTATAAAATAAAACTATCTCAACTTATAATAAATCGACACACCTAAGTCCAAATAATAATATATTAATATATTTTAAAGAAAATATGAGAACAAAATAATATTTTAGTATTTCAAAAAAATAATAAAAACAACTAAAAAATTACCGCCGAGCCCGCCAAGTCCGCCTAACCGCCTGGCCGATTATTTCTACCGATTTGTTCAAATCGGAGGCGCCCGGACATCACCTAGCGCCTAGGCGGCCGTCTAGGCCGATTTTTAGCACCGAGGTTTACGAATGAATGTGCTGAAAATGCGACACAACTTTTAATTGTGTGGAATCTTGAATTTATTATTTTACCAACCTACCCATAATAAGTGAGTGAGTACTTGAGGGTGGTGTGGGTGTATGCACTATGCAGTATGAAGGAGATAACACAATGCTGTCACTTAAATGCTTTAGGTACAATAATGCCAAGAAAAAAACAAGTGAGCTCTGAGTACTAGATTGACTCTTGCAATAACACTTTTCAACTTTGCTCAAAAGCAAGTGACTCTTTTCCCAATTAATTGTACTTCTTGAGAGAACCATACCAACAATTTAAGTCAAGTCATATGGTACCAAATAATGGATTATGCAGGAAAATATAAACATCCCGTGTGAAATAATGAAGTCGATAAACGAAATCCTGCATGGCGATGCTCGTCACTTTTGCATTTCAGTATACACACCAAAAATTCAAAGTGAAAACAAATCGACCCAAATTGGATCACCTTAGAACTAGCATATGGAACGGAGGTAAACAGAAAGGTAGCCAATTACCCATCTTTCAAGCCCTTCCGTCCCATTCTTGGTAAAATTCTTCCAAAAATCCTTCCATGAACTTGTGCCTCCTTTCTGCCCTCTTCTGACCAGCCTGTCATTTACCGTCAAGTTTTTTCGCTTAAGACATAACAAAATTCACAATGAAAAACAAAATTAAATGGAGGATGGGACGATAAGAAAACAATTTCTGTGAGGAAGTGCTTAATACTGAAGATTTGATTCAAGTTCAATGCACTTGACAATGTTCGAATACATTATTAGCGAACCTTGGTTTTCATCAACTCTTTCAACTTGAGAAGCTTCTCGTGAAAATGGTTCACCGTTGTCTGCTCCTCTTTACTCATGTACTTTTCCTTAGACAAATCTGATCGGGGTTTAATGTTGGGATCATACAACATACTATTCCTGCTTCCACCAAACGTGAAGCAACGGGCAATTCCTGAAATTCTCTCCATGTCAAAGCTATTCAACATTAAATTTATATATTACGAAGTCTTCTGCTTTGTACAACACCACCCTTGGAAAAATCTATACCCATCTCGAAAAATTTTCATCTGCAGCCAAATGGCTTGTGCTAGAAAATTCCTGAAATTAAGAAATACTAGTAGTGCAACACCCATGTATACGGGTGTGCACTGAAAATTTTATTACTTTAAAAAAAAAATAGAAGCTTTTCATTCTAAATTTCTTAAAAAGTGCATTTTTATTTTTATTAAAATGACAGTATCACCTGTACGACTCATACGTCAGATATTATAATAATGTTTCAACTCATATCATACAATACCATCAATAGGTGAATTTATTTAATTAATAAACATTAATTTTAATATTTTTTCCAATTAAGATCGATTATTTAATTTTATTTTTACGTATAACAATAGATATTAATGTTTTATATATTCAGCATGGATATCAATATGCAAATCGTTAAAAATGATTAATTATTACATAACATGTGATAACAAATTAAAAAGTTGTTAAATTTAAAATATATTTATAACTCAGGTTGACAAAGTGTTCTATATTTTAGAAGTTCAAATAGGTATATGGATAAAAGTCCAAATTTAAATAAACAACGCAGAAGCACCAGAACTTAACACATGGTACCAGAATACACAAAATTATAAAGCATCAGAATCGACACTTGGTAAAAAACTCTGCATTTGTACGAGGTATACAATGTCACACGCATAGATCAAGAATTTATGTGTACGACATACTAGAAAATAAATAAGTTAACACTCAATAAAAAAAGACAAGGAACACAAGATAATGGCAAATATGCAACAAAAATAACTATTACCTATGGCACCAATCGCATCAAGACGATCGGCATCTTGCACCACCCCCAATTCTGGGTATTGAGTACTCCAAGTAACTCCTGCAGCCTCCTCTTTGAAACCTGAAATACGCAAAAGATTACCCAGATACTTTTTAAGAAAAAGGATGACTAGATCAAACATTAAACATCTCTTGCAGTCAGGCGTACATGTATGCACCTAAACGCAAGTTGCTTGAAGTCTGTTGGAAAAAAAAAATGTCGACCTGTGATATGCATTAAAAAACGTACCCATTCTCTTTATGATGCCCAATATACGTGACCTGATAGTTTCATTTACTCCTTCCTTGACAAGAAAGTCCTCAACAATCTGCCCTTCTGATGGATCTCTACATTTCATAACATTGAAAAACAGGAAAGAGTTAAACAGACCATTTTGAGTGGAAATCAGAAGACGGAAATAATAATAACAATTGCGAGAAACAAGGACAATCTAGATGCTGGACAAATAAAAAGCAAAAAATTAGAAAAGGGTCATTACATAATTCGATCTATACTTTAAGATTTTTAGTTAAAAGCAATTGATCGTACCTACAATTATAATAAGAAATATAATTTATTCAGCTTCTTAGCTATGGTAAAATTATATTATTTAACGCATCTGAGTTTTAGGTAATATAGTCTTCAGCGTCCACAAAATTTGCAAGTTTAGTTGATAAACCAATATATTTACTTCTTTCTCCAACAAAAATCCAAAATCAGCTAAATGAAATAGTAACAAAAATAATAAAATTGCTTATCATGGTTAGTAGTATACAAGTGAAACAGCCTAACAGGCAATGTTAGGTACATAAGCAGACAATTAAAGAGACAAAGGAGGACAAAGCTAACCTCATATATTTATAGTCCCCTGCAATTAGTATCCAAATGTATCATCAGCACATAACAAAATTACACATCAATAGATCAAGGTTCGATAAGAAACTATGTGGATGATTAGCAGACAAGTGCTCTTTACTGACCAAGGTAGTTATGAAGTGCATTTTAGAATTATACAAATGCAATTGCAAATGACAGAAGTTTCTCATAACATAGTAATGAGTTCTTAAATCAAATCCATAAAAGATAAGATGAGCAATGCTATCCAAGTGTACCAATAGCAGAAATGATAATGTACGAGAACAGAAGTGTGCTTGACCAAATCCTGCAGAAATGATAAATTTATAAAATTGTGTTTTGAGGTATGTTCATGTCTAGTGCCAAATCAATGCTCCTTGTGATTTAGTAGTGGTCATTACCGAAAGAAGCCAGGAAACAAAGAGACAATCCGTCGAGAAAATTTAATGTATATAAATAAGATCAACGATCAAGAAAATACGAGAATATGTTCCACCACTTTATATTTTGAAGTCAACCAGATAAAACCATGATAAAATGGCATTGCTCTTACATTATATCGGCCAGTGAAATTATAGCAACTAAAGGAAAACAATACAATTTTACCGATGTCATGTAGCAGTGCAGCTAACTCCACCTGAAGAGTAAGAAGATAGAGTCTCAACAAGTACGTTATATTAGCCATATTTGAAACAGAGAACAAATCAAGGCAAGATATCTTAAAACTCTGCTGATCATCATCAGATATCAAGCAAACAAACACCATAGAAGCTAGCATTTTTTACCTTTCTTTATCAACACCGCAAGATTTCTGAAAACTCAAATTTATATCTCGATGGTGCTTACATTGAAAATCAAATATTTCCGAGAGCAGTCAAAAACAATATCAGTATATCTTAACAATGTACCAACAAAGTGTCAGTGAATAAACATTTACCAACAATGCCATTCGCAACACACGATGTCCACCGGATAAAAAGCAATGGCAAAGCTATATAAAAAGAAATCCCTAAGGTGGTAAAGCAGAAAAGCACAAATTAGACATGAAAAAATAATAACATTTCCAGTCAACCCGCATGTCGCAACAATATACAGCAGAAACAACGCCACACTTTCAAAACATAGTTAGCATTCCTGTTCAGTTGGCGAGATGTCACAGTCAATCAACATCGTCTTCGTTCATTTCACCCCACACAAACCAAAAACCCAAATATATCTAATTATGCAGTGCAAATAAAAAATATGAAACACAAATTTCCATACAGTGAGAATCGAATCAGGCGAAGTAGAGAAACCCTCTTCACGGGCAAGAGAAAGGGCAAGATCTCTGACTCTGAAGGCATGGGCTGCATCATGGGACGCATCATTGCCTCCCATTGCTGATTTCACCAACTCCTCTGCTCTTGCAATTATCTCACTCTTCACCATTCTTTCTCTCTTGTTCGCGTTCCCTCTCAGCACGCTGGATGCTTGGAGGTGCGAATCAGCTGCTGTGGCCACTTGAAAATGGTTTGACTTGAGGAAACTCTTCCTGCAATAGATATAATGATGCGGGAGGACTACTGCTCTAGAAAGCAAGTCCCTGGATGGACCGTGATGCAAAACTGGGGCGCCAGAGAAAACGCGAATTGTAGAGACAGAAAGATTACTCATTCTTTTCATGTGAAAATTGTCGAAAAAAAAAAACAAATTACAATATGAGGTAGTAGGAAAAATGGGAAAAATTATTAGGTTCCCCATGCTTACAACCCATGTATATTAAATAAATTTTTAATCACAGAAAAATTAATACTCAGTTAAACAGGAATTAACATGAAGTTAACCAGTAAAAGAATGAGCATTCATTCAAACAGAAGCAATCAACCAGAACTCTCGATTTATACAGCAACAAACCAAAATAAAGAAATCTATTACATATTTCATAAATATCATCAAAGAAATTAACCATCAAAATTAATAGAAGAATAAATCCACCACGGGTGGACATCAATTTGTCTCAGGTTGCAGCTTCACACCATTATTATAACGAAAATAAGTATTTCCAAAGGGATAGTGTTTCGGATTTTGGCCCTTTGAGCAATTGGGGTTAGACGATCAGTAAGTCGGAATTTACCTCTTTGGAGCATCAACAGCGACAACAAGTTCGACTTTCCGGATGTAGGTTGTGTCCGATGATCGGAGATGGACCGTCGACGGAGAGCCGGCGGCTTGGAGAACTCTACCCACGCTTCTGTTGCGCCTCTTTTGTCCCACCCTTGACTTTTCCCTCGTAAACCCGATTGAACATTTTATGCAGTGACCTGTTATATATATACCTATCATTTTGGGCCGCTATATGGTTCTTGGGCCTAAAAGAGGATGCCTCAAGGGCCTCAAGAATAGGCCACCTGAAAACTATGGACTGCCGAGAGCAAATACAGTGATGTAAAAATAGTGTTTGGGTACCCCTCGTTTAGATTCTAGGAGCCGCCCTTTATTTTGTGCCTTGATCCCCTTTTGGTGGAGCAGTTTGTCTGGGCACCTATCAGCTAAGGTTCAATTTTTTCTTTTGGCCATTGTCTTTTATTTTTTATTTTTTTTATTTTTTCTCGTTTTGTTTTCGATTTTGGTTTGACTTATGAAGATCGATTTTTTGCGCTTTTAGGGTCTTGACTATATACAAATTAGTGATTTAGCCTTCACCCTCCCCCCAAGGTGTTTTATCCAAAAAAAAAAAAAAATAGTGTTTAGATAACAGATACAAACAAATTAAGAGAAATTACCGGACACACTATATTATTCACTTTTTATTACATAATTACATTTTCATATAATTATTAGAAAAATTATATAAAAAGCCTTCCAATTTACTAGAATTAGTAGGAAGAAAAGTCAACTTATAATTAATTGCACACCATATTTAAAAAGTTTTTAAATTTTTAAAACCATAAAATAGGGTAGCATTAAATGCATTTAAAGTTATGGGTTTTGTTGAATTCATTTTTAATAAAATCTACATATAAATTTACGTGTGGTTTTGAAGTGAAAATTTGAAATTCAACACTTGGACTAATTTAAAAATCATTCCTTAAATAAAAGAATTTATGAATAATTGTTATATCTACTCAATCACATTATTATTTTCAATATAAAAATAGACAGATTACAAATTAGTCAATCATATATTACCTAATTCAATATCTTAACATTAAGAAATAAATCCTTGATATTATGTAAATCCGTATCTCATATTATTATATCATATGTATCTCATAATATTATATACCTAAGAATATATTATAGTTATATTATCAAATCATAAAAAAATATTAAATTCATACTGTAAGAAATAATAATTCATATAATTTTATAACATTTGTACTACACTATTTAACATTATTCTTTTTTTATAATATAATAAAATAATAGATAAATAATATATGGTAAACAAAAATAAGTAAAACTGTTACTTTCTCTTATATCAAGAGATAAATTTATATGATAAAATTAAATTTTTATCAGTATAAATATTTTAGTGAGATAGTATATTAATTATTTTATAAGCTAGCCTAACATGCTCATATTTTATGTTCTGGCTAGAAAAACAACGTTGGTTAAAAGATGTGGAAACAAGTTTAACCCTATTGTTTCTTATACTTAACGTTGATAATAAAAGAGGTAGAAATAGATAATAATCATATTACTTTTGGACTTAAATGAACAAGGTTGTGAAAATAATCAATTGTTCCGTGCATAGCACGGGATACGTACTAATTATTAACAAGATAGTCAGAGTTATATATATTTGAACATATGATAGAAAAATTATTTAAAAATGAATTAGCTTAATTAATCACTAATTAGAGGAAATTAGGAAAATTGTCAGTTTTTCTTAAAAATTGATTCCTATTTGTTTGATAATAAAATCACTCTTTCATGCCTCACTGATCACTCACTAATTCTACCAGAAATTCTATGGCATTACATGCGGTACCATATTATGATGCCACAACATGATGTAATACATTATGATTGGTGCCACAACATAATCATGTTGTGACACCAATCATAATGTGTCACATCATGTTGTGGCACTAATCATAATGTGTCACATCATGTTGTGGCACCATAATATGGTGTCACATGTGATGTCATAGAATTTCTGCTAATTCTACATAGTTGCCCATGTAGCCACCCAAAAAAATATCTCTGTCTCATAACTCATTTACACAACAGACGGACTATTTTTATGTCTTTGTAAAATGTATGTTCATGTCTAGTATATGATATGTATATAAACTCAATATATGTTATGTATAAACTCACAACATACTAATTTTGTCATTTCAGTTGTATGCATATAAATTTAGTACATAGAATTTGTAAAGATGCAAATCAATTTTGCCCTGCTATAAGAGTGCAATTTTTTTTTTTTTTCAAAATCATGTAGCATAGGTGAAAATCCGCCAAAAATTTACAAACACCTCAAATTCTTAAACATAATTGAAAGGCTACAATTCCCAAACCATGACCATTTTACGATAATATTTGAATCCTAAGATGGATGAACGTACAATAGTTAGCTACCCGAATGAGTCAAACATGAACATTTTGAGCTCATATTAGATTATAACTTCACATTGGTCGTTGTCATTCATTTACTATTAACTTTGTATTCGAACTCATTCGTCGAAGTTCGAGTTCGAGTAATTTAGTAAATGAGTTTATTGAAATTACTTGATTAGCTCGAGGCCGCTTCCTTCATAATCGTTCATATGATGGGACAAGATATCAAATTACTAAAGGACCCCTGCAATACATGGGAAAAAGACTAAACTACCCCTCAAACACAACCAGTTTATATAATTTTAGGTGAGTTTTCATCATTCTAATGATTTGAAGTGCTTGTGCAATGACTATAGGTGAGTTTGCTGAAGATATAAAAAATGATATCATTTAAAATATGGGGAATTGCATTTATCCTAAACTGAAAAAAAAGAAAAGGGTAAAATTAATAGCTCCCTAAGCTAACACTTGTGAATGAGAAATAACAACAATCTCTAAACATTGGCGGGAACAAGCTTAAACCACTGTACTTGTGGATTGTCATTGCACGTAGGGAGGTCGGCAAGGTCATCACCAACACACAGGCACTTGTTCGTTACAACTGTGGGCCCAGAATCTTTCTTTTCCAAACAAACATAATTCCCGCCTCCGATTTCCGCCGCCAAGTGGAGCCCCGAGCTGGACACCAACTTCCAGCTAGTCGAGCAGTTATTCGAAAGACTTGCGGCACCACCGTCTCCCTCCGCCGCGAGCCACCGCGATTTTCCGGCCAGCTTAATCGGGCCCCCGTCTCGGTGTTGGTCCCATCGATCCGCACTTTTGCAGTTGGCTAGCAAGAGGTTATTACTGTCCTTGCCAATTTGCACGCACTGCCCACTTTGAGGATGGAAAATTACGTATTTGGTCGGTTTTTTCGAATTTGGATCTGAAATGGAAAATTAAGTAACATGATATGATATAATTTCTAAATTTCTGAAAAAAATAAAATAAAATGAAATGCAATTCATTGTCAAACAAGATTTACCTTGATTAATTTGTCTGATAAGTTGCAATCTGTCTAGAAAATTCGGATTCCTCGGACGTTCCCAATCAAAGCTCGTAACACCGTAAGTTTCATTGAGATCAACTGTGCCCTGTCTCAGCATGTAGCTGCCTTGAAATGCCCATAATGCCCAATCAACGTCCTTCTCCGCCACCTCCGCCAGCAGACAACTCACGTACCGATTGTCCGCCTCGTTTACCCCACTTTGGTCTATACCAAATTCACTTAGAAAAAGAGGAGAAAGATCAGTATTATTATCACCTGTTGTCAAGAAAAGGAAATTATCCCGAGCGGCTTTTGTAATACTAGCGCATTTTCCGTTCGTTTGGTCGCTCCATCTATCATTGGACGAGCCGAAGGTGTACCAATGAGCTTCGTACACTAATTTGTTTTTCGGGCTTATTTCTAAAGGCTTCGCCTTTAGAAACCCGAGATTGGTATCATACGATAGCCCCGAGACGATGATCAGAAAATCGGGACTTTCTTTGTGGATGGCGTTTGCCCCATCTTGCATGAACTTGTACCAATCCGCCTCGTTTTGTCGATTTCCTCGTAGCTCGTTTCTCATGCTCATCCCCACAACCTGCGTAGTTAAAATCTTCCATCAAATTTATCATACACTAAGCAAGGCTACTTAAATACTATATAAATTTAAAATTTATGCATGAATGCACTCAAAAGTCTTCGACATACCGCGGAACTGCGCTTGTATATCCGAGCAACTTCCGACAATCCTTTGAGCCATTCTAACGGGTCGAAGCTCGGGTCGCCGAAAAACCCGTTACCATCATCGGCCGCACAACACCATTTCGGCTGGCTGACGTGGTTATCG